GTGCTTGTACAAGTTCGCCGTCTACTTCAACTTCTATTACACTTCGTCTGGTGGGAACGAAGAGAAGATTTGCTGCGGAAGTCGTCAATGCAGCACCACCTCCGGGGGCTGCATTTCTCAGTTTTTCGAGACGATGCGGCCGGAAGCCACGGGAGACGAGAAGTGCCGTGGCTGCAGCAAACGGGACAATGGGCGATGTATTTGCGGCGAACGAGACTGGTGCCCACATGGTGAAGGCGAGCGGCTATACCCAGTGTTCCAAGATTGGTCAACGGCATTGGACTCTTCGGCAGGTGAAAAGGTGCGGGCGGTACCGTAGAAACGAGTCATATTGGTCGTTGCACGAGGTGCCGAGGACCATGTATTGCGGCAGTAACGAGCAATATGTCCAACGCGGTGGCAGTTGAAACCTATAGGGCCGTCATCTGCAGTTCGCTACTCAGCCGGGTTGCGGGTACGTGGCGAAAACCTTCGGTCAGAGGAAGGCATCGCAAAAGGGCGTTTGCCGACTCTAGGCGCGACGACATGGCTTCCGGAATGCACTCTGATGTTTTCAAGCTCCTGGCACACGATGGCTTGAACAAGAGGAACAGTAACAGGAGTGGTATCGGTACTGCGCGAATAGAACGCTAAGGGTGCCATTGCTTCCAGTTTGCGACAAACAATGTGTGTCAGGTCACCCGGCGGCGACGGACGTTGTGGTGCGGACTGGTTCTCGCAAGTCGATGTTGTAGCAGTTTTTGGAAGTCGGGCAAATGTTTACAGAATGGGGTGACTTTTCACTTGCTCAAACTGACAACACTCTTTGATGATCGCGTCTACGGTAGAACAACCCTTGCACATCAGGAGATCGAACGCGTCGTCAGCAATCCCTTTCAGGACATGTCCGACTTTGTAACTGCAAAAACTTCTTGGAATGCTACAATACCTACAGAAGTTTTTACCCGACCCGGCAGAAAAAACAATCCCTCTCACAAAGCTCCTAAAGGAAGATGCAGCATGGTTGTGGACTGAAGAACATGATTTGATAGATATGTGGGATTTAACGTCCCAAAACCACCATATGATTATGAGAGATGCCGTAGTGGAGGGCTCCGGAAATTTAGACCACCTGGGGTTCTTCAACGTGCACCCAAATCTGAGCACACGGGCCTACAACATTTCCGCCTCCATCGGAAATGCAGCCGCCGCAGCCGGGATTTGATCCCGCGACCTGCGGGTGGACTGAAGAACAGAGCAACGCACTAGAGGATACCAAAAAAAAAAAAAAAAGGACCTCAACAAAGCACCTACACTGAAGTACTATAATGTAAATGGTGAGCCGACTCTCTCGGTTGATGCCAGCTCAAAAGCATTGGGTGTAGTGCTAATGCAAGAGGGAAAGCCAATTGCGTGTGCATCAGTAGCATTAAACACTGCACAAAAGAACTATCCGCAAATAGAAATGGAAGAGCACTGGAAATCAAGTATGGCTGCAAGAAGTTCCACTCATACATTTATGGCAGACCGCTGCGAATAGGAAAAGATCACTATCAACTGGAAACAATCTGCAAGAAACCCCTTGGGCTTGCGCCACCCAGACTACAGAGACTTCTCTTTGACATCCAACACTATGGTCCCACAATTGTCTACAAAAAAAGGAAAGTACCTACACATTGCAGGGCTGCTTAGTCGTGATTGCAACGCAAGCGAGAATGCAGGCACCATTGCAGAGGAATTTGAAGTTCTTGCCTTACTGCCAATGTCAGAAGAAACGACGGCAGAACTGCAGACAGCAGTGGTGCAAGACGAAGCCATACAAAGTGTGATACACGCAACAAATCACGGATGGCCTGAATCAAGAAAAATGACATGTGCACAAAAGCTGTTCACACATTTGCGTGATGAACTATCTGTGTATGAAGGCCTGTTGTTTCCAACACTAGAATAGTAATACCAAACACTTGAAAGGATAGAGTCATTTGGAAGGATAGAGTCATTAGAGTCATGATGTCTATCCATGCTGGACACCTGGGCATCAACAGCTGCCTAAAAATTGCAAGAGAGATTGTTTATTGGCCGGGCATATAAAACAACTTGCGCAACATTGTACAGACATGTACAGTGAGCCAAACATTTAAAAGACGTCCTCCAAAAGAGCCACTGATGCCAAAAGAAGTGTCGGAATTGCCATAGGAGCGCATGGCAGAAGACATATTTGACTACAAAGGAAGACCACATTTAGTGATCGTAGGCAGTTCCTTTTGCTGCATAGACTATTTGGAGCTGAAACACTGTTCCGCAAGAGAAGTGATCCAAGCAATGAAGGCATCGTTTGCGACACATGGAATATCCAAAGTGGTTGAATCGGACAATCAAACTTGCTTCACGGCTCATGAATTCAACATCTTTCAGAAAGAGTGGAACTTCCAGTTGGAAACATCCAACCCGCTATATTCAAGATCCAATGGCCTGGCTGAAAGGGCGGTGCAAACAATGAAAAACCTGCTGAAATTATGTGCATCAGACGGCAGTGGTATACAGATGACACTGTTAAACATAAGAAATGTACCACCAGATGAAAAACTAGGCTCACCAGTGCGTCTCTACGGAAGGTGTACAAGCACTACATTACCCACCGAAACTGACTTATTAAAGCCAAAATTTATCAAAGACATCACCGAAAAAATATCACGAGAACGAATGAGGCAGAAGGAGTATGCGTACAAGCACACTTCAAGAGCTCCACCAATACATACTGGTGACAATGTTTGCATTTGGGAAAGACCTCGCAGATGGACTCCCGCTACAGTGGTGAACCAGCATGGAGCACCAAGACCCTTCATACTGCAGACACCACGTGTGTTTCTGAGATAAAACACATTCATGATAAGGCCTAGACGGCAGTGGTATACAGATGACACTGTTAAACATAAGAAATGTACCACCAGATGAAAAACTAGGGTCACCAGTGCGTCTCCACGGAAGGTGTACAAGCACTACGTTACCCACCGAAACTGACTTATTAAAACCAAAATTTATCAAAGACATCACTGAAAGAACGAATGAGGCAGAAGGAGTATGCGTACAAGCACACTTCAAGAGCTCCACTAATACATACTGATGACAATGTTTGCGTTTGGGAAAGACCTCGCAGATGGACTGCCACTACAGTGGTGAACCAGCATGGAGCACCAAGACCCTTCATACTGCAGACACCACGTGTGTTTCTGAGATAAAACACATCCATGATAAGGCCTAGGGAGAGCACCAATGACAGCTCAAACAGTGTTTCCAGCCACCAATACCAGATCAGCCTAAGGAGGTGCAGGTGGCGTCTTAAACCCAAACAGCGGCTGAGCCTTTGCAAAACAGTGCGGCATTGCACGCCCCTAGCAGCCACACAGCAACTCGCTATGGCTGCCTTGTAAAGCCAGTTGTCAAACTGAACCTGTGATAAAGGAAGATGTAAAGGTAAACACCACCAGACTCACTCGGTTGGGGAGAGTGCCATCGACCGCCGCATCACCTATGGTTGGCCAGAAGGTCAAGAATACCTTTGTAACTTCACAATGTTAATGTAAACACGTCATCTTAATAAATAGTTCTCCTTGAAGCACTCAGTCTTGTTATCACACTCGATGTCGCGTTTACTCGAGTAAACATTTAAAAGCAAAGACGCGGGAGGCGAAATGCGTTAAAGACGCTTGTGCTCGGCTTCCTTGGCTCACGTCTCGTTGGCGTTACTCGCGGGCTGTCTGTATTCTTGAACGTGATCGGTGTTTTTGACTCGCACCTGATCGGTGTCGCTGGTCTTCCACTGTCGACGCTTGCGTTCAGCTTCCCTGGTTCGTGCCTCGTCGGTTTTCACCTCGCCATTCGTGAATGCGATGTCTTCGCTGACTCTCGCAACGTCGGCGAAAGCCAGGAAAGGTACGCGCACACTAGCAGGAAGCATGCCCCACCAGTCGGCGTGATCGCGAGGCAAGCAGTGGTGCGCTACCCAAATTGTCGGCGCCGCGAAACGCGCGCAGCACGTGAACCCGCCAGCCCGCGGCTTCTTGTCCCCCACAGATGGAGAGAGGTGGCTTGGGTGAGATGATGCCCACGTGAGGAGTGGGTTCGAGTGTTGTGAGCGGTGGAGAGGGTGAAGCGAGAGAGATGACACGCGGTGAGTGGGTGACAAGTTAGGGTATCACATGCACTGTGAGGGAAGGCGTGGCCGACTTGGCACCGCCCCCAACACCTGCGGCCAGGGGAGAGCAGTGCAGATGGAGGGACAGCGTTACACAGGCTAGTCAAAGAGCTGCTTCACATCTAAAAATTCTGTGAAGGCACCCTCACAGGTTAGCTGAGGTAACCATGCATTGCATGTCACTCTAATAGGGTTTGACATCACTAAAACTTTCATTACGCTTCCTACACTGTGACGTCGGTCTCAGTGGCACTAGCGATGAAATCAATGTCACCCTTCTTCCTTTTTTTCTCTATGTGTGTTTCTATATAAGGGTGGTTTGTGCGAATAAACCTTTAGTCGTGAGTCAGTGCTTGCGTTTCATTATTTTCTATGGTCACATCTATGAGTCAAGATGCAGTTTTATACAAGCACAGGAATTCAGAAATGCATCTAATGAGTGAGGGCCCGCTCATACCTAGATAGTAGCGCAAGTGCGACTAAGGCATCGAATGCCCAAAGTCATACTATCTTACGTAAAACCACATGGATGCCAGATTGACAGGTGTTGCCTTTTGCCTGAAAATGCACAGATTTGTGACTACTTACTTTTCTGCTGCTGTGTGCCTTATCAGTTGAGAGTCAGCATTTGTGTTGTTCTGAATTCTCACTCGTGTCTGAATCTGAATGCCTACTGTTCTTTATCATGAATTCTTGCAAACTAGCTGAGCTTCAATTAAATATGAACATCTTTGCTGCAACTACACTCATGTAACTCACTATATGGAAGCATTTTTTTTTCTGCACACGACAAAAATTTTTCTGAGAATTCAAAAACATTCCTCACCGAATTCGCAGCACCATTTTTTGGCAATTGATCTTCACTCCAGTGAGGCACAGTGTCACCTGAAAATGAAGCAGAAGCTTATTGAAGCTGCATGTTCAGCATGTCCACGTACCCACAGCCGTGACGGGAAATGAACATCAAGTCCTGCTATCATTGTCACTTTAGTCCACATGCCAAAACATGCTGAATATTGTAATAAATGGCAGGCAAGTAATAAAGTCTGGCTTTGAATACTTTTGGTCGAAACAACTATTGCAGCTATGAAATGGTTACGACCAGTGGTGTTCTAGTATAATGGCACATAGAAAATAACAAAACTAGCTTCTGTTTTTCTGTTCAAATAGAGCTCATGAACCTTGATAGCAAAATTGCTTTAGTTTCACTACAAATTTCCAGTTAAGCACTGCTATTTGTTAGGAACCATCAAAAAAAGTTTCTTGTTCTTTCTAGTAGCAATAACTTTTAATTAATATTATAGATTGTCAAACAAGACTAAGTTAGAAGAAACCATTAGGCCACAATTACTCTGAGCGTGGTGCAAATATATGTGGCAAGTTCAACTACAGAATAATGTTGGTGATACGAAGCCAGCTGAATTGAATTGCTGCCTGATACTAAACTAGAAATTCCTCAGCCGAACTGCATAGTGAACAGGGGGTGAAAATTTGAATGTTCCAAATAATATTCCACACTACGATGGGTGATGCAACCTTGATGTCAAAAGTGTTCAAGTATGGCTGACAGCAGCATACTCTGAAGTGCGGGCATGGCCTGCGTGTTGTGTCGGTCATTTCATGACCTTCTATCAGATTCGGTTACGATGGGATGTGTTGCATGGTGCCACGCAACAGCGTTATAGTGAACCATTGCTACGCGCCAATGCGTGCTCTCTGAATAAAGAGTCTCCCTCCCGGTTCTAGGCCTAGCGTTACATTCTTCACAGCGCTCCGGCACTAACGCGCCCATTGTTTCGGTCGGACGGTGTGCCGGTGGCGACACAACAAAGTGGCGACGAGATGAACAAGAAGTAAGCAGCTTACGTACTTTGTCGGCATCCTCTGCCGATTTCTTACACAGATTGCCACCTTTTCGGGAGCATTTACAGGGCACCACTCTACTTGCACGCTGCAACTGTGTTAGGCCTACTGCGCTACTGCGGCCACCCCTGCACGTTTGGCCGATGCTTACTGATACCAGTGACTCTGCAACGCATACTGGTGACTGCGACTCCTCAGTGCCTTAACATTCCAGCATGGCTTTCGCGATTGCTCCTCTGCTGTTCCTGCAAACTCCGGGCGCCCCTTCCGTGCCTTGGGCTAAACGGCGCCGTGTCTTTCAGGCGTATGTCGACCTCACTGCCGGAGACACTGCCCGGCCCGCTCTCAAGAAGAGTCTACTACTTAACGCACTTGGAGTTGAGGGTCTCGATATCTACTGGACACTACAAAATGCACAGGACCAGGTGGAAAGTGCACACGAGACTCTGTGGACGAAGGCACATAGGATGACATCGCAGCACTCACACAACTGGAAAACCATTTCAAGGCTCCAAGCGATGAAGTCCTAGAGCATCACTACTTCAATATGCGTAAACCAATAGCAGGGGAATCAGTTACTGACTACGCGTCCTCTTTATAAGCAATGGTGAGCAAATGCAACTTCGGCACCTCCGCCAATTCTATGGTCCGCGATCAACTGTTCAGCGGAATAACTACACAAAATGTGCGAAGACGACTGTTGCAACTGGGTCCTACTCTTACTTTACAGCAAGCAATTCAAACTGTGAAGGAAGAGAAGCGTAGCGAACTCAAAATGCCAGAATTCACGAATGCACAAGTCGAGAAGATCGGATTACAGTCGAGCCCGCTTATAACGAACCTGAGCCTGACGTGGCATCCGTTCGCAGTATCCCAAATTGATTGATTTGATTGATTGATTTGTGGGGTTTAACGTCCCAAAACCACCATATGATTATGAGAGACGCCATAGTGGAGGGCTCCGGAAATTTTGACCACCTGGGGTTCTTTAACGTGCACCCAAATCTGAGCACACGGGCCTATGACATTTCCGCCTCCATCGGAAATGCAGCCGCCGCAGCCGGGATTTGAACCCGCGACCTGTGGGTCAGCAGCCGAGTACCTTAGCCACTAGACCACCGCGGCGGGGCTCGCTGTATCCCAAAGTTCATAGTAAATGAAACGCAGCTTTTAAAAGTTATGAACAAAAACACAAAATGTTTTGCCCAAAAAAGTTCGTGACGCATGTGTTTCGAAGAGCAGAAGCGATAAGGGTGGTCTCAAGTTTAATTTAAACAGCAGCATGCTCTTCGCCGAGGTACGTGGCGTAAGCTGCATGAGGCACTGGCTCCAAAGTTTCGTCAATCTCGCAAACCGATTCCTTCAAATCGCTCTTGACGTGTACTTCATTCCCAATGCCCTAATCTGTACACAGTTGCGCGGTGTCGGCATCATCATTGGCTGTAATGAAACCATCGCAACAGATGTCCCACCTGCTCTCCCATGTCGGAGTCGACAACGCGCTGCCACAAATCGCCGCCGCAGTGGTTCTGTTCGGAAGCTTCAGGATTGGCATCGGGCCCGACGTCGACAAAGTCAGCTTCACGAAAACACTTTCGTGCGCATGTACCAGTCACTGCCGCCCATGAAATTCACTACTCCACAGCTGAACACCAGGACGCCCGAAGCGGGAAGTTGGCTGCTAGGTACTCAACAGCTATGAGCAAGCGCTCCTCAACCCGGCACCTAATATGCTGATTACGCCCAAGCCGAGCGGCCACACTTTCGACGTTTTGTTGAGTGGAAAGAAAAAGCGTGCAAAGCCTCCTGTCCACCATCCTGACCACACATATGCACACCAAGAGCGAGCAAGACACGCACGCGCGACACACATGCCAGAATGCGTGGTTCAGCTCCGAGCGCATTTTTAGTCGAAAAATAAAACTTCTGAATTCGAGCCAGTGTGGCTGGCGTCGCGGAGTGGTAGAGACGGGCAAAAAAGTTGTTATCAAAAGAAGAGAGCAGATCTGCAAGAGAAGGTCAACGAGTTGCGAGAGTGAAGAGAGGGGAGTACGAATGGAAGGCTACCTTGAAAACCGAAACACGTCGGAAGGAGGCAGGTCGGGCAGCTTGCTTGAAAGGTCCACGAAACGCGCAAACCACACGTAGAAAAGCTTGAAAGAGTGCCTGCACTCGCAGAGGTCAAAGCCCAGCCGCCTGGATTGGCGTGCACGGCGGTGTTCAATGTATTGGCGACCGTGGTCAAAGAATCGTTTTCTTGCGCCATCAGGTTTGTGTCGCCTCACTGACTCCGATATTTCACGATTCGTCCCGTGCAAATTAACAGCTGTTTTTACACTTCCGCCCGCGTGTGGAGGGCATGCTAAGCCGAATGCGAAGTGAGCGAGAACAGGTCCTAAACATGAAAAGAATCTCGAATTGTCAGAGTGGTTGGAGTAGCGTACGAGCGTGCACTAGAACGATACGATAAGACGCAGACGATCGGATATAGACGATGTTGGCAAATGGTCTCGTCACTCCTGGCCGGCAACGTCAACGACAGTATCGGCGATCAAAGACAGGGGAGATAGCTGACCAGCCTTCGAAAGATCGGTGGCAGTGTGAAAACACGGCCATGTCTGGCCATGCGGCGTGCTCAGAGTAGTGGGGGGACAAAGAACGGAGGGGTGCGTAACAAAAAGTGGTCGGGGAGAGCAGCAACTAGAGGGGTGCGGAGGCAGGGTCAGCGTTCAACAATAAGAATCTATGGGCACCTTGCCGATGCCTGATTGGTGGTCGAAAGTAGTTTCCCGGGAAGTCGGCAGAGCACCAACTCCGTTTGCTGTAACCGACCGGCGGCGCTCGAAGACGTTCGTTGTAAGTGCGATTTTGTGCCATTGAAACAATGTACATTTTCACGGTCACGTGGATAATGTTCATTTTAAGCGAAAGTTCGTTTTAAGTGGGGCCATTATATATGGGCTCGACTTTATATCCAGGTCCACAAGATGGCCACCAAAAACAAAGCATGGCCGACGGCCTCCTCGACAGAACCGGTCAGGACGGCAACATGGCCGCGGGCATCACAACTCCCGTCCTACTACATCAAATTTTGCAAGCCACCAGGACAGACGACACCGATCTGAATTGGGCGTCTGCTACAAATGCAGATCTCATCGACACTATGTGAATTTTTTTATAGTGTGAATTTTTCTAATTGTCCAGGCCGCAACCGCACTTGTTCTGCCTGCGGAAAACAAGGTCGCTACCGAGCTGTATGCCGCTCGTCAAATGTCAGCACATCTCAACAGAACGTAACTGAAGTACAAGATATTGGTGTAACAAACACAGTTACAATCCTAAACATTGATGAATGCTCCAGCCGTCCTTTGCCGCTGAAGATTACTGTTCAAGTTGGTCAAGTCAACATTCCTTTCCCCATTGACACTGGTGCATCCGTATCATTGCTCAACTTACAAGATTTCAAGAAGTACTTCTTGGAGACCAGACTACTTGACTTGTATGTTGTTCTTAAGGACTATTCGACGAAATGCATTCCCAATCTCGTATACTTCTCTACAAACGTTCGATACAATGATACCACTCCTGCTGTCACATTTTACGTGACGAAAGAGGGTTCTTCACTTCTTGGGTTGGATGTGATTCGAAGGCTTTACGTAACCATTGATGATGCAACATTGTCCTGCTCACACGTTTCAAGTTCAGAAACCCCAAGAACTCCTGCTGCCGGGCCAGTGGGCCTTTACCTATAGCACGCACGGTGGAAGCAGGGCGAGGAGAACACAGGTAAATTGCACATGTGCGGGACGAGCGTCAGCATCCAAAAGGCCACAGGGGGCGGAAAGGCGACTGGGAGATAAGAAGGGGTGCGAGACGAGCCCAGTGGTTTTTTCGGTTGCAGGCGAGCGATGGGATGTGGTGCCGGTCGCACTAGGCGCGAAAGGTTTCCTCCGTGCGTGCTACAGAGGCGAGGCCTCGCCGGTTTCGGGGGCGTATAGTCAATGGCCCATTCTACGGCGAGT